ATGAGGCCTGTATTAGACATGAATGGGAGAGCATTCCTATTTCTAAACTTGAGAAACTGGTCTCCTCTGTCCCCAGACGTGTGTTGAGTGTTGTAAGAAGAAGGGGGGTTGCTACACAGTGGTAAAAATGGACTTGTCCCAACTTGTTTTGGAATTTGTCCCTTAAAATGATACATTCTCTCAGTTCAAACTTTTGATCTGTGATTTGTGTTCTATTCTGAATAAAATATTAGATGTTGGCACCTCCACATCATTGCATTCAGTTTTTATTCACAATTTGTTTAGTGTCCCAACTTTTTTGGAATCCGGTTTGTAAAAAGCTATTTAGTTGGTGGTAGCCCTTATATTTAGAGGTGATTACCTTAATGATTCTGTTGTTTGGTTGACTTCTTGTATTGTTTTATTTATTTTTTTTACTTCTATGTGAACTCTGTCTTTAGGAGTTAGCTATTTGCATTGTGTTTAAAGAAATCCTCAACCCCATGCTCTTATAGTGAATGCCCCATCATTACAGCTGGTAGCCTTTCGGTAGGTTAAATTGTATGTTGTGAAGAAGAGGAAGAAATTTTCTTATAGAACAGCAGCAAACTGGATACAGGGTAGGGGAACAGAAACATTTCTGTAAAGTAAATATATAATGAGTTGATTACATTTGTGGAACTTTATTTGTGACTACCTTAAGTTGTAATTATTTTCCTATTTTGTTCCTCAAATAAAAAGTTGTTTATAACATCTGGTTTGCAAAATAATAGTTAAAAAAAATGTGGACTTCCGGTTTTTTATTGTCCGCTCTTACGCTGAAAATCATGACCGGAAGTATCCTCCACATTACTCTGTCTTCCGGTAACTTTTGTCAGGAGGAGGAAGTTCTTGGAAGAACGAAGCGACCGAAGAGAATTACTACCTAAATTTCTTCTTCCGGAATAAAAAAAACAGCATGGAAGCAACTAAAACACCTCAGACACCAGGTGAGACGTCTATCTTGCTACTTTATAAACTTTCAAACTAATTTTATGTCGTCTTTATTAGCTTGAAGTTAGCAAACAGTTTCAGACTAAACAAGCAAACCGGAATTTGACACGTTTCGCACGTAGGTACTTTATTGATAGAAAACACCCAAAAACAGTTGGCCTTGTTGAGTTTGGACCATTTCTGGTAACAAAACACTGTCACTTTGCTAGGAGTTCTGAATAATTTACTTATCTGTTTCAATTATTTTATCTAATCTATGTAATCCATGTAATCCATCTAATCTATCCTGTATTTATAGAATTGGATGAACTGACTACATTTATAATCTTAAATTTATTTAGTGTCATTAATATAAAATTCATTATAAACGGTTGATAAAAGATGGTTTCAATTATTACATTGCTTCTTTGTTTACAAGTGATCAGAATGTCAAAATAAAAATAAGCAGGTTAACATAAAAGAGCTGAAGCAATAAAAATACATGTGTCCTTTCAAAAAATGTATAAACATTTTGAACTGAAGATTATAAGGACATAGGATGCTATATGAGCCCTGAGAGTGGAAACAAGAAGAGAGGGAGTTTCCTGGTTTGAGAAATAGGTTCAAGGTTCTTTATTGTCATTCACATCACATGTGGTACACGAGGTGGAACAAAACTGTGTACACAAGGTCCCAGTTACACCCAAAAATAGCAAAAGTATAAGGCATAATAAAAAATAAATGGTATACAAGGATCTAAAATATATGCTAAACAATAATAATATAACAGTGTATTAAACAAAATAAAGGTTTAGTAATTTTTTTTGTTTCACGCCTCAGATAATAATTACAAATTAAAATGCATATTGCATATGATGGGTTTGAGTTTATTAAAGATGGCCACAGTCCTTAAAATAATCTATTAAGTTTCATTCAATAACATCATGAAGAAATAAAGATTACAAATAGCATTAGCATTACAAGCCAAAATGTTTATTAAGTAAGTGATGAGTTTAAGGTTATTATCGTGTACAATATATGGATTCTGTTCCTGTATTCTCTGGATATTGCTTCTTTTCACATTGTTCACGGAACAATTTAACCCATTTCAACCTGGTTGTAGCCTGATGAGCTGTTTGCTGCACCTGATATTTATCCACTCGTCTTTAAATAAGATTAAAAAAGAAAAAAGCAGAGTCAAGCTAACATTCAATGTTTGTTTGACGTTTTTGTTTATTCACACTCACAGTAATAAAAACCTTCATACGTTAAAGGCAGTGGTTATTAACTTTAATTAACAATTTGAGTTGAACAAATCCGCTCATATTTAAGCGTAGTCATTCTGCAGCCAGTATCAGTCATATAATTATAGCAGTGGCCTCTTAGCCTCTCATCAATATTACCAATTTCTTTTAATTTCAAGATGTTGCACGCTAACACTATCTCTGAACTGACTGTAGCTGGAGAAGCTGCTGGACCAGAGGGGGAGGTCAAAGAGACGCCAGCTGCTCCCCAGGCAGCCAGCCGCCTGCCTGAAATTCGCCTGGTCGTGCTGGGATGGAGGTGGCCTGGGAAAAGCTTGACAGCCAACACTATCATTGGCAAGGAGGAGTTTCGCTTGGAGCGAGCGGCTGAGTTTTGTGTGAAGAGGGAGACGGAGGTTGATGGGCGGCAGGTGCTCGTGGTGGACACTCCAGGCTGGTTCTCCGCTCAGGACACGCCGCCCTCATATAAAGAGGAGCTTGTCCGAGGCCCCTCTCTGTGCCCGCCAGGTCCTCATGCCTTCTTGCTGATCATTCCCGTGGGCATGTTCACTGAGGTGGACCGTGCACGCATCGAGGAGCATGTCAGTCTCTTTGGTGAGGAGGTTTGGAGGCATACCATTGTGGTGTTCACCTGGGCGGAGGTGTTGAGGACCATTTCTATCGAGAGGTACATTCGCAGGGAGGGGAAAGAACTCCAGTGGGTGCTGGAGAAATGTAAGAAAAGATACTTTGTTATTAACAACTGTGCATTTGGGGAGAACCCCCAGGTGGGACGCCTAATGGAAAAGGTGGAGAAGCTGGTGGCTGAGGAGGGTCAGTACAGTCCAAAAGTGGAGAAGAAATCTTTGGATGTGAACCAGAATGCGGCCAAGGAGGTGCGTGATCTGGGGGCGCGACCCAAACTGAGCTCTGGACTGGGTTTATGAAAGGTCCTGGACGTGGAGCAAACCTGCTGTGAGTGATGACTTCAGTTCATACTGGTTCTTTACACAGTAAAGGTCTGGGAGGCATTTCTGTAAAAAAAAAAAACAAAAAAAAAACGACAACCCATAAACATCACATCATAATAATCACATCTTAACGACACTCTTATAGTCTGTATGTAAAACACGTGAACTATCAGCTCAGCTCTTAATTCTAAGTTGCTTTTTTTTTTTTCCCCCAACTTTTGACATTTTTCCTTGTGAAATAGTTTTACTGTTTTGTCTGTATTCATGGTCAGACCAACAACTCTACATGAGAGGGGAACGTCCAGATTAATCAAACAGTCTTGTCTTAGGGTCGATTACAGCGACCAACTCCCACAATACACACAAACTGTGCTTTGCCTTCGTGACCATGGATCTTTGTGATCTTTTATACCAATTCAGGAAATCAAGCAAAGCAAATCACAGATGGCACATTACTATCTTCTATCCCCTAATCAGTATATAAAACAAACCAAGTAATAGAATATCATTTGATTATTTTGCTTTTGAGGAAAATTTACTGTTAGCCTTGAGCAAAAGTGACAACAACATTTCTTCCATTTTAGAGAACTCATCATGAGACCTTTCAAACAGAAACCTTTTGGCCTTGTTTCATTTTATTTTTGCTTTGTGGTCCAGCTCATTCTAGACGACTGTAGCAATACGTACCCTTTCTGATTTGTGTCACCTCGAAATCTTTGTGTCTTCTTCAGAAGGACAGGAATCGGAAACAAATAATACAACACGTCGCGTCACAGTAGTTCATGAAAATATGTCCGATTTAAGATTTGTCTTATATAAACTGGATTCTTGTTGTAACCGTGTAACTCGGTGTGTTTGGGTCCAGATTATCGAGGCCCTCTCAGCTGAAAGACCCTCCAAGAATGGTAGGGCTACCGTATTTTTTGGACTATAAGGTTCACCAGATTATGCGTCTTATAGTCCGAAAAATATGGTACTTCATTTAACAGCACAATGTAAAAAGTTACTGAATGTAAAAAGCAGCTGAATTATTATTTTTTAGCTTATTTATAGTAAAAATCAGATGTTACTGTGTGGGGGGGCTTTTAAACAAGTCTAAAGATTTACTCTGTAACTATGAACTCAGGCGTTTGTAGGGAAGATTAGGTCCTTTTTATTTTTTCAAACTGTAAACCAAAGAAGCACAAGCTGTTTGACATTTGTTTTCGTATGTCAGCACTTCATGATTTTGGCTGAAACAAATACCGCACTACTGAACTGTCACTGTCCGTCTCTGTCGGGCTAATTGGTTTTTAAAGAATTCCCTTTTGTTGTGACCAAACTGTGAACGTTTCTCTCTGCAATGTTCCTTATTCTGAGGTGTGTGCACTTGTAAGGCACTAAAGTAGTTTTAGAGTTAAATCAATATTTCTAGTGTGTGTTGCCTTAAAACAGCGGTTGTGTTTGCCGTAAACTGATTTTTACGTCGGTTATATTACGTTACAAAGTACTGTACGTTTTAGAGGAAAGGTGGGTGTCCGTACTGATCATCGATGACATTAATGAACTCTAAAAATGTCAGATATTCATAACTGTTAATATCCAAGACAATTTTGTTTTCTTTATTGTTACTGTAACATTAATATTGTTTTGTTTGGGGCAAAATAAACGATTTTTAAAGGACGATTATGATATTTCTGTATTTTTTTCTTTTTTTTGTTAATCTTAAACACCAACTGTGGTTGATATCTATCGATGGTATTTAATAAAAAAAAAAAAAATAAAAATTAAAAAATAAAAATATATATATATAATTACTGAAGGAGTTGTGTGGAGGTGTTTTGTATCAGTTTATCAGATAGAAACAGTGTTGACATCCTTTTAGGGATGATCCCCTTAGTGCATATTTTTCCCCCTAGACAAATGTTTCCTGTCAGTACTCTGTAGTTTGCTGAAATCATTTATTGTTTCTGGCCAGAATGTCTTAAAAAAACTAATATCCAGCCAGGACCTTGTCTTTTCATGTCTGAAAATTGTTCCAGTGCTTTTTGACAAACTCAAGAGGGTTGTTGTGTTGTTTCTAACCTACAAAACCCTCAACAACCTAGCTCCGTCTTATATTTAAGATCTTATTGTTCCGTTTTCCTAACACAGCACTTCGCTCTTAGACTGCAGGCTTTCTTGTGGTTCCTAGAGTTTCCAAGAGCAGAATGGGAGGAAGATCTTTCAGTTATCAGGCTCCTCTTTAGTGGAACCAACTTCCAGTTTCTGTCCATGAGGCTGACACTTTGTCCAGTTTTAAGACTTTCCTTTTTGATAAATCCTATAGTTAGTGTTAGCATGTTTTGCTGCTATAGGCTTCGACTACTGGAGGACAAATTGACCTCATTTCCCTAAATTAATTGTTAAAATTGAATAGTTTTCATTTGATCTTATTTCTATATTAACATGTGATTCTTGGCCTGCCATTGTGTATCTGTTCCTCTCAAACCCAGCCGGTCGAAGCAGCTTGTCCTGAGTCTGGTTCTGCTAAAGGTTTCTTCCTCATGAGGGAGTTTTTCCTTTCCACTGTCGCCTTCATGCTCGCTCAAGATGAGAGTTCTGTGATGGAGTTAAACTCAAAGCAGTCTGCTCCTCAGATAAATAATGTTAAATTATTTTATATACATATATGAATGTTTTTGTTCAGTGCCCTTCTGTCGTGACTTGGCTCCATATAAATAAAGTGAACTGAAATAGAAAACAGCTCAGTGCTGTTCAGCCCAGCGTCGTCGTTTAATGCTGAAACCTGAGACAGGAAACAGATATGACTCAGTCCTTAGTGACGTGTTATTTTACACAATGGAAGCTGAAAATTACAAACACTGCAACAGAGCTGAGTCACAAAAACTCTTTTCAAACGATGAACACAAAAAACACGAGATAAGTTAAATATTCCCTGTAGAAATTGTTTAAATGATGACATAAATAGTTGTATTCCTGTTGTTGTTTTCTGATCCAGTTTGTAAATGAAGTAACTTCTAAGATATTTGTGATCCTGTCATTTCCTCATGCCGTCTCTCCATGGTTCACTGGACTGGACCGGATCTGATCGGTCATGATTGAGAACCTTTGTTTTCTTATTGCTAATAAAGGTGATGCGTGCACAAGAACTATCAAGTGTTTTGTTTTTTGTAAATTTCTGCCTTTTTTCGACGAGCAGTTTTCAAACCTCAAGAAGACATAAGCAGCTGAATTTCTACAGAATGCTTGAGCAATAAATTTATTTATTTTACCGAGTTCAGTTTCTCCTGACATTAAGTTCAAACAGTGACAGATTTTGTTTTTCCAATCGTTAACACGCCAGTAAGTTTGTTTTATGTAAATTACAATCATTAGAGACTAAATAATTTTTTAGATTTTTCACAATCCAGCCCTACCCTAAAATAAACATGTTTAAATTGCACTTATCGTGGGGAAAAAATAGTCTGTTTTTCTGCATTAAACATTGGTGTAATTTAAGTTTTGACCGCTAGATGGCAGCAAAACAAGTCACAAAAATCCTGTTTACCAACATGTTTGTTCCACTGCGTTCTTTCCAAGTATTGATACACCTGTTTGTAGCATTTAACAGAAAAGTCTTTTAAAAAGCTCTTCTTGTGAAACAGAAAAAGTTTATGTCTGAGTTGCTCATTTTTAATACTCAGGAGTTTTACATTAAAACAAGTTTTTCTCTTCAACACCAATTTTTTTAAACTCTTTTCTGTAAAAAATGTCACATGCCAGTAATTTCGGACTAGTTTCTTCTTCCTCTAAACTTTTGTGTTCTTTTCTGCTTGCTGAGCTCGTCTCCTCTTCTATTTGGTGTCTTGTTAAGTCAACTTCACAGCTGTTGAGCTCTGGCTCTTCAATCTAGACCACATGTATCAAACTCTCTTCACCACGACTGACCAAAGCAACGTCCTTTTTATTGAGGAAGAGGCCCTGATCCATCAATCCATCTCCTGCTCCATCCTATCATCACTTGTGAACAAGACGCCCAGCTACTGTATGTAAACTTCTCTACCTGAGGCAAAGACTCGTCCCCCGACCCGGAGGTGTCATTCCACCTGTTTCAGGGTTAAGGACCACAAAACTTATGTAGACTGGAAAGGCAAACTTTCATGACCTCCTTAGCACCGCCACAAGGATGAAGCTCTGGTCCACTGTTCCTTGACCAAGTTCAAGTTCAAGAATCTTCATTATCCTCAAGGGGCTAATTGGTTCACAGTCAGTAGGCACATAAAACATCCATACTAGACATGGAGACATTAAACAACCGTACAGAAATCATTGCTTTTCATTGAGAAGCTTGATCGCTACAGGGATAAATGAGTTTTCAGTCTGTTCGTTCTACATCTGGGCAGCAGATGCGTCCAGAAGGAAGCAACCTGAACTCATCATGGAGTGGGTGATCAGGATCTGCCAGAATCAGCCTGACCTTGTTCACTGACCTCACCTTGAAGTAAACTTTTCTGGGGAGGCTGATAAGTGTATCAACAATAGTTGGAACACACTTTCTGGTCCCCCTTTTTTAAAAATGAGAACCACCACCCAGAACTGCCACTCCACAGGTGCTGTCCCAGTCCACCATGCAACACTGAAGAGATGAGTCAACCAACAGTCTAACATACAACATTTAAAAAAAGCATCACGATTGCAAACACACAATTGTTTTTACCAACATTGTTTATTTCAAATGTAATCAAATCAACCGCAGTTACAGAAATAACAGACAGCAATAATACTGAGTGATTTAGAGCCTTTGTTGTGTATGATGCAGTGTCATAGTGCTGTAAAACAAGAACAAAAACCTGATTTTTGTTTATTTTAAATGGACGTATATGTTGCTGAATTTATGGTTTATCAGTGTTTATTCCAACTCAGAACAGATTAAAGAACGACACACAGGCCGGAGCAAAAACCATCAGTGATGCAGGTGAGAGACCACTTTTAAATTCTGATTCACTCATTTTGTGTCATGTTTTTGTCTTGTGGTACCAGAAGTAATTGATTTTTCTGGTGTTTGCCACAAAATGAGCCCTGGTTTGCTGATTTTCAGCTCTGTGCTAACAACTGTGGAACACCTTGAGTTTGTCCATAATAATAAATAATAAATAAATAATAGTAAATAATCATTAGTACTCCACTTTTATGCAGTAATATTAATTTTCTTTGAAAACTTGTCTCAATATTTTTTAACCAACTTCTGAAAACCTGCACACAGTACTTCCTTTCACACTGAAGACTCTGTAATGCAAACATTTGACGTTCGAGTGTACTGCGAGTTTTTTTTTTACTGGTTTGCCACCATGCATTTACTTACTATGTAGAGGCTGCAGGCACATCTCACTGTTAAACACAAAGATAATGTCTCACTGAGCTGCAACTGCTGGTGACTAGTTGGCGAATGGCATCCAGAATGTCTTACTATGTTTAACTTCCTCATGAGTTGTAGACGTTCGCAACAAACTTTCTCACAAAGTAGTCCCCGAGTCATTGCAGATGTCACAAACTCTTGATTTTGCCTCCAACTTATCTTAAGACAGGTGGGTATGTAGGTGAAGGTGGGCAATGAAATAGTGCACACAATCTAAGACGCAGTTTTGCAAGCAGTGCACCTTGAAATAAGCCATGACTTTAAAAACTGGCAGAGTAAAACACGGCCGCGCGGCTCATTTCTTACTTGATCGGAAACACTCAGAATACAGCGAGACTGCAGCTGAAAATTTGAAAAATTTCTCACAATACTGACTCAGGTTTGAGTCTCTATCTAATTTAGGCTTAGTCTCTAAGTGGTAGTGTCTCAGTTAGTAATTGGATTACTTTTGAAGGGAGGGATTTAGTGAACAGTGCAGTTTTATTTGCACATGTAAGAGCTACACAGTGGTTCGAACTCTAGTCCTTGAGGAACACCATCCTGTATGTTTTAGTTGTTTCTCTGCTTTAACACACCTGATTCTGTGATTTAATTACTTCCTCAAGTTCTGCCTGTTAATAACGTAATCGGGTGTGTTGGAGCGGAAAAGCAACTAAACCATGCAGGATGGTGTTCCGCAAGGATGAGAGTTGGGAACCTCTGGAAACACGTCAGCAAAATGACCATGAAAATAAATCACTACAGCTACCTCTAACAGCAGCTTTTTCTATATAATTACACAAATTATATAATGAATGTAAAAAAATATGCAACTCATGTCCTGATTAGTCTTTGGTTTCAATGTGATGGCAACAAGATGCGAAAACAAACGAAACCCATTATTTTACAAATTGCACCTTGTTCAGTGTAATTCCAGAACTTCGATAATTAGTGTCTCTAAACCGAGTCATTGGTGGAAAAGTGGATTTTTATTTAACAACAGAAACAAGTGTTTGGATTGTGTATTGATCTGTGACAGCAACAAATGGAACAGCATTCACACTGAAGTAAAAAAAAGATGTAGAGAAGAAAGGCCACTCAGAAAAACGACAGCATCATCACTGCCGTCATATAAATGTGAAAATGTTTGGAGTTACCTGAATCTGCAAATGTTTTGGCTTTGCGTGTCCTTTATCGTGTCGATGATAAATTGGTATGAACGGACCTAAATTTGCTACAATACTGGAAAAGAAATCGTAATGTAAAGTAAAAAAAAAAAAAAAAACTCCATTAAGACCAGTGCGTTTTCTGACTCGCATAGAGGTTTCTAGAAAGAACCAGGTGTTCAAATTAATAGAGGTTGGGAAAATCCTTTTTTTAAATATCTGTTCCTACAAATCCATGAACTGACACAAAGATATTATTCAGTTGAGTAAAATTAACATTTTCTGCTGCATGCTTCAAACTAAATTTTTACAGACTTTTGAAAGTGGTCAATAAAAAAACTGTTTTAAGTGTACAGCAGTGGTCCCTCGCTACTTCGCGGTTCGACTTTTGCGGACTTGCGCTTTCGCTTTTTTTTTTTTTTAAAGTAATGTATATGACACAGGCTGATTGATGGATGAGCCACACAAGTGGCATGGATTGTTTATTTATTTATTTTCTTTAACGATTCAGCACCTGCTGCACCTGTGTGAAGCCCACAGGTGCAGGGAGAACCTCCCTCTTGCATTTCTCTTCTGTGCTGCTGCAGCTTCGTGAAGGTTTAACCCTTTGCTGTCCTGCTGTGCTTCTCTTGTACTACTATCCCTACTTTGCGTTTTTTTCCACTTATCACGCACACACGCTGGGTGGGCAGGGTACCCAGAGCCCCTGGAACCTAGCACCCGTGATAAACGAGGGACTACATTATACATGTGAACTTGACAAATGGAGATTTTGAGAAACATTAGCACAGTAGCATTTTTCTTTGTGCTTTAGAAACAGAGCTTAATTTGCAAACCCTTCGAGGGGGGGTGTTTGGGAGTGAGGTTCTGGGGATCCCCCCCCCAGAAAATTCTGAATAAAGTAGATGTGATTTCCTACGTTCTGGTGTATTTTAACGGGTTGTTAAACATCTACATTTACCTACATTTGTAAACCGCTTCTGTCAAGCATCCTACCCCCCTCCTGCTAACTTGATGGTTCCGAGTCCGATACTGTCCCTGCTCGCTGGTGTCTGACTTCATGTGAAACCTTCTGAAAAGGTAAACAATGTCAAAAAAAAGACTGAATTGTTTCTAGAGCGTGTTTAGTCGTACTCTTAATGTGCTCCTTTTATTTTGCAATGCGTAGTTATTTTTTACTTTATCGCCATCTACTGGCATCCAATGGGTACTTCATCGTTTTTGTTGGAATTTCAGCTTCTTGTCTGGATAGAATTTTTTTTTTTCTGAATAGAGGAAAAATTATTCCTTTTTAAAATTTATATCCACAGTAGTATTGTTGGGGTCTGAGGAAACAGCAAATCTCAAAAGAATGGATTTTTCCCAACCTCGGTTTTTACGTCTACACATGGCCCTGTCTCGACTCCATTTTATCCATAAACTGATGAGTTACTGGTGCAGAGCCAGCTCAAACATACTGGGAGACATCCTGCGGACTACTCATCTATATTCACACAAATTAATCCCATACACTTTAGAAAATAAACCCATACGCACAAGTGCCTGTCTTGTAAAGTCGCAATGGTACCACATTGCATGCAAATAATAATAATAAAAAAAAGTTTGATTAATGAAATCAAAATGTAAAGGAGAGTTCCATCACCCATTAAAAATGACAAAGGATAAAGATTAGTTCCTTTTTTGGAACTTAAACCATCATCTGCAATGCTGAATGTTCAGGTTTTTTTTTTTTTTTTTTTTTGTGCCATGATTGATCGCGGCAACAGCAGTTCACGCTCGTGTCATACATCGCACAGCTCCAGCCTGCATGTGCAGAGCAAGCCGTGGAAAATTCAATTATGTCTGCTGTGGTATTGAAAAGCAGTACCACCAGTCTGTACAGATAACCTGCCAACCCCCAAATACTAAAACTCAAACAAAACAAACAAAAAAGCCTTTTTGAAATCAAAAGACAACAAGTAGAACCTGATGGGTATACAAAAGGTTTATGCTAACGACCCCACAAACAGTAAAGTGGAAATCTCTGTTCACTTACTCTGTATCTGTATTGGGTTTGAAAATATATATTGTTTAAATCACCCTGCAGCCCCCCCCCCCCCCCCCCGACACAAATAACCAGTCGAGGCAGTCAGGACAGTCCCTCCATGGCAGCCTGTATCTACTCCAGCTGAATTGATATCAGTGATGTTCCTTTTGGCCCTGGTGGGTCTGTTTCTCACCAACAGGGGCTGACTAGTGGGTTTGTCTGGGATCAGTATTCAGGTTTTCCTTGCCTCCTCCGGTCCCTGGCTTCAGTCACACCTAGTACTAAACAAGCCAAATCCAGAGTTTTACCAAGGGGAATGTGTACACTGGGCTTCGGTCAAAGGATTTCTGGGAGAAGTCCCCATTGAGCAGGAGGGCACGCAGGATGAAAGGTGGCAGGAACGAGATCATCCCCTCAGCACTGCTCGGACTCAGTGAAGCCCTCCTTCTCCTGGCCCATCGGCTCCACCTCTGTGTACGCTGGGTGACCTGATCCTCGGCGAAATGTCATGGCTGGCCATCTGCTCGGGCGTCTCTGCAGAGGTGGGGAGAAGATCGAAGTGAGGCTTTATCATGAAAACCAGAGCTTGAAGGCAACATATGCTGAAAATCAGCCCCTGCATCCTAAAGAGCAAACACTTTCCTTCTTGCTCGTCTCTGTGCGTTTAAATGTGACATTTTTGCAGAAAATGCAAAAGCGCTGCCAACAAAAAGTCCTAAAATCCTCACGTTAACATAGTGTGAATGTTCATTTTGCTTCCTCACGTTTTTTGGCATCTTTCACAATTTTTGTGCTATTTCAACAATTCATATATCAAAACACTCGGCTCGCTCAGGAGAAGGGTGCTATGACTTTTGGTATTGGTGCAACTTTAGCTATTTGAAATATTTAGCCTTTTCTGCCATTTTTCCTCATAGAAAATGAACCGAGCTCATTTTACATCCTTCAAATTTTTAGATGTGTTTACAACCTTTTACTGCTCCTTTCACATTTTGTTCTGGTTCAGTTTCTTTCAGCTTCCTTGTGCAAATTTAAATTTATTTCAGCTACTTTCAGCTGTTTTGTGATCCTTTCAGGTTTTTTCTGCTAACTACATTATTTTGCTTCTTCTAACTTTTTTCTGATAATTTCAGCTTGTTATGCTCCTTTCAGCTTATTTATGCAAGTTTAAGCTTTTTGTGTTATTTCGGCTACTATTTGTCTCTTTTCATGCTAATTTTAGCTTTTTTGGTTTTTCATGCTAATTTGAGTTTTTTTGACTAATTCCACATTTTTTGCACTCATTTAAATTTTTTTCAGTCTAATTCAGGTAAAATGTGCTCTCTCCACTTCCTTCTGGTAATTTGAGCTACCTGTTTTTTTTAAAGCTAATTTTCAGCTGTTTTTCTTGCTAATTTTAGCTTTTTTCAGACAATTTCCACTTCATTGTGCTTGTTTCTGCTTCTTTCAGCCTAATTGGGCAAACATGTTTTTTTCTCCTTTCATATGCTAACTTAAGCTTGTTCTACCTTTTCAGCTACTCTTTTAGCATTGTTTAGCTAATTTTAGCTGTTTTCAGATAAATTCAAGTTTTTGTGCTGATTTCTGCTACTTTCAGCCTAATTAATTTCTTTATGCTAATTTCAGCTCATTATGCTCTTTTACGCTATTTTCTGCTAGATTCAGCTTTTTCTGCTCTTTCAGCTACCATTTAGCTCTTTTGATGCTAATTTGAGCTTTTTCAGTTAATTACACATTTTTTAAACTCGTTTCAGTTCTTTCTGTGTCCTAATAATTTAAGCTTCTTTTTGCCTTTGCAGATACTTTTCAGCTATTTTTGCTAATTTCAGCTTTTATTAGCTAATTTCCTAATTTTTGTTCTCACTTCTGCTTATTTAAACCTCATTCAGCAAATATGTTCCTTCTGCTTTCTTTTTTAAATTTAGGCTAGTTCTTCCATTTTGGCTACATTTCAGAATGCTTTTTAGCTCATTTCAGCTGTTTTTCAGCAAGTTCTTCTGCAATAAGCATTCACACTGCATTTTTGTAGGAAATGCAATTTCTCTAGTTGTCTTTTGTAACAGTATTCATAAAAATAATGAGTTTATATCTACATTTATTTAATTCAACATACAGCTTTGTGCTGTCATGAATATTTATGTGAGCTGTGATTTTTGTGACTCTACAGTAGTTTAAATAACTAACTAAATAAATAATAAATAAACAGTTTTCTTAGACTTTTACTTTTAATAAAGTTCCTGTGTGATGTTTAAGTGTCTTCATTTTAGCCAGTGCAATCCATCTTCAGCTGATTCAATCATTTATTAACAGTGTTTGTGCAGGTTTCATCGTGCTCCTCTCACAATCCTAATGCATATTAATGCATCGGTGAATTCAAATACAAACTTCTTTTACTTAAAAACAGACAAGTATTTTTGCTATTACACTGGAACTTCAGAAAGGTTTAAATTAGATACTCTACACTCATTCCTAACTTAATCAGATGCTGTGGGAAAGTATAGAGGATTTGGTTTCTAAATGCAGGAAAATGTGACAAAATTAAAACAAACTAAGCTGCATGTATAGTTACTTTATTTAAGAATTAGTCTTGCAGCATTGGTGCTCCGGCTCACCTCGATGAGGAAGAGGCTGGCTGTAGAAGTTGGATGATGGTGCACGTAGATGGTGATCAGCACGGCGGCAATCATGACGAGCATCACCATAAGGATGCCCAGGATCAGACCGGTGTGCAGAGGATGTGTGCCTGCCATTTTGTTGACTGCGCTGTCAGCTGGTATTACTGAAACACAATAAAACAAAGAACAACAAAATAACTTTATTATAACATTGCTTAACTGACCAAAAATGCTTAAACGTTTTTTAAAAAAAATACTGTTTTTCTACATTCACTGCAGTTTTCTTAATGACCACTAGGCGGCACTCTTCTGCTATTGACGCATTCACAACAGTGTGCCTTAAAATGCACATTTTTGACAAATAAATTAATTAGAAAATCTTGTTTTAAAACAACAGCACCTTGGAAAATGATCTCAAACAGCCAAGGATGAATGAAAATTAATAATTTTCATTAGATCTGGCAGCTTTTTTGTTACAAAAATGATTTCCAACAATTCAAGGGCTTATTGTATTTAGTCGTTTATGTTGTTCCCTTCTTATATCTGTTTAGGTATAAACAAAAAAGGGAAAAAAGAACAGTTTTACTCTGCTACATGTGTGCATAAATAATTAATCCCATGCCAACTTTAGCTGTGCATGGTCCAGATAAGAGGTCTACAGATGCTGATAAAATGTGCCTTCAAAACCTGGACTGAAAACTGAGGCGGCTGTAGGATAAATATGTCCTTCTGCAAGCCTGAAAATCATGATAAGTTTGCGAAGCACTTCAGATATGTTTGAACCCCACTCTTCACCCACCAAATAATGTGATAAAGACCTTACAAAGATGATAACCACATCATTCAGAGCTCTGTTTTCATGTTTGGGGGAACAATTTCAGGAGAAAAGATAATTTCACCTGCAATCTTTCAACCTGAATGACACATGCAACATCCTGCATCCTTGATTGTATCCAAGAGAAAAAGGAGCAGGAAACAAGATCCTGTCTATGTGTCATCCTGCAGGTTTACAGCAAGTTCAGGCCCTATCTATTCATATTGCTCTGGATTTTTTCCCCTCCGTGCCCCTCTGACAACCTCTTCTTCTCTCTGCTGTTAATTAGCAGCCATAGGCAGCACCGAGCTCGTCAGCCAACCAGCCTCTCCTCTGGCTTCCTGCCTCATTGATTTCCACCAGACAGAACAACCGAATGGTAATCAAACCTGTTCGATGTGTGAGAGCAGTCAATGGGAATGCGTAGCCATTATGTGCACAGGGTGTTGGAGAAATAATGATAATATTGTATGGATAATTAGTTTGGCTGGAACAAAAGCAACACATTTCCTTCAGTGGACACAATGACTGTTTCAGCAATGTAGAAAGAGTGCTTTTCTCGTAGTTTGTGTCCAAGAGTCATTTTCTGCTTCAGCATGAGGCTCAGTCAACAGGACAGGTGATTGGCCAGCGGTGTTAAAAGGTTAGAGCAGGCTGTGAGACTGAGATGTGCAAACTGCAGCTGAAAATCTGAAAAAGCAGCAGGATGCAAGCAGAGACAGTTCGCTCTGAACCCCAGGAGAAGTCCAGAGTCCTGACACAGACAGTTTAATCTACCAAACAGACATCAGAGCCAAAAGCCAAAATATCTGCTTTAACCAGAGGAGTGGTACAAGTCAGCTCCTTCAAAACAGGCTTTAGTTAGAACATGTTGGAAAACACGTTTTCAAGTCTGCATGCAGAATAAAAATGAATGCTCTGTGACGCTGTAGCTGCAGTGTGATAATAATCAGCGCAGAAATAAATAGTACAAAACTGTTTCACTGAAATAAAAAGTACCTAATTTTCCAGCTTATAAGTCACATTTTTTTTACATAATTTACACGTCCTACAACTTGTACACCAAAGCGACTTATTTATGGATTTCCCCCCCATATTTATAAACCAACTTTTGGCTGAGATATGACAATTTTCATTCTTTCTGATGTTGAAAATATTGAACACTACTATTTTCAGCCGCTAGAGGGCACTCGAGCAGTATGGCATGCCGTTGTGTCATGTATTAGGTAAAAGTGGCTATTAATGATACAATCGGCTTGCCATAGCCTGTCACCGTTGTCCAGCTCACCTGGAGCAACCGTCAAATCAGCTTCGTTTTGTTGCATCGACTCGGCAAAATGCAGTTGATTTGACCATTGAAGTGCATTTATTAAGTAAAAGTTCAACTGAGACACACCTTTGCTATAAAGTCGAGCAAACAAATAATTGTTTTAGGTGTTTATCTTGTTAAATTTCAAAGAAAGCGTTCCTCCTTCCTGATTTCCTCCCTCAGTCCCAGAGCACCGAGGCAGCGAATACTTTTGAAAATGCAGCTGATTTGACCATCAAAGTGCAAAAGTTAGACTGAGACACGCCTTTACCATAAATCTGAGCAAACAAAGAATTGTTTTTAAGTCTTAATCTTGTTAAATTCTTGTTAAAATCCTCCCGTGAACGCTCCCGCGGCCGCCATTTGGCAGCCAATCGATTTTTGGCACAACACCATCCCACATTTCCGGGTTGTCAGCGGTGACGCGTAATAGATGCAACGCATATGGTGAAGCAACATATTTATGGATTTTTTTCCACTTTATTAAACATATTTGTACTGATGCGACTTATAGGGCGGAGCGACGTGTACGATGGAAAATACGGTATTGTTGCTTTGCTAAACAAAACAAGTTATGCCAATGAAATCATATTTTCATCAGCTGGGCCAAAGCAAACATGTCTACTTCTGATAATCATTATTATTGAGAAAAATAAGAAGGTACACCTGAGAATAATCTAAATAATATCACAATTTTGTTGATTTTCTTCTTAAAAATCCAAATAAGCAAACAGCAGAGCCACAATTTAAAAGAGTACTAATATAGAAAATCATTCTATAATGACACAAATTAAATATTTGTGGATTGTAATAAACAGAAATGACTTGATCCACCTTGTTTAGATTTATGTGTTCATATTATCTGGAGTAGCAGCAGCTATATTTGCTATGTTAGTACAACAGGGTAGATGCATATTATTATAATATAAAGCCCTTTGAAATCAACACCGTTTACCAAAGTGCTGTACACTGATAACACATAAAAGCAAGCATAAAAAGTATAAAATCAATTGAAACAGTAAAAGTAATGAACCGTTAAAATAAACAGCAAATGGTAAAAAACTATAAAAATAAAAAGGTTGTTAGTCTGAAAATAACAGGGTAAAATAAAAAGTCTAATTTGTCCAATCAGATGTCTCAAACTCCAACATTTATCCACTATAATGATGAAATATTTATCATTGTGGCAAAAAAACAAGCAGACTGCGTCAAGAAGAATCCGTCGTCATTATCCTGGACGTGATGAGGAGACACGGAGGACGGTAACGGACAGCAGAGCTGCAATCAGGAGCACTAGAGGACAAATGGCTCCAGTGGGAATCTGTTTGCGCCACAGTTTGATCAGAGGACGACAACTGCTCCCCCTCAGTGACAGGTTTAAAGAATCCCTGAATCCAAACTGAGCAGACCTAACTCAGCCTTTGCTTTCAGCTGCGTCTGAAAATGCTGATTTTAGTCCTGTCATTCACATCACATGTGGTACATCAGGTGGAACGAAACTGTGTACTCGAGGTCCCAGTTACACCCAAAAATAGCAAAAATATAAAGTATAAAAAGAGAGATTATATAAGGATCTACGATATACGTTAAACACTAATAATGTAAAATAATGTGGTATATTAAACAGCAGCCCGAACATGAGTCTGTAGTGAGTAGACGGGTATGAATGTATACAGCAGCATGAGATAATCAGCAGCATGAGATCAGCAGCATGGATAATCAGCAGCACAGATAAGTCACATATCACCATTTAAAGTGGCATTACAGTGATTATCCTGGTTAGAGATTCATGAGTCTAACAGCCTCAGGGTAGAAGCTGTTCCTCAGTCTAGTGGTTTTACACTTAATGCTCCTTAACCTCCTGCCTGAGGGGAGCGGGGAAAAAAGTGTGTGCTGGGTGAGTGGGGTCCTTCATGATGCAGATGGCCCTGTCATTGGACGATCCATACCCTCAGCTAATTTGCGCATGCACTAAAGGAAATACTTTTGAATATGCTAGATTTAGGAAAATGTACTGGAAATAATCACTTCCAGCCTGTGTGCAGGTGTGCTAAATTATATTCTGTCAGCTGATTTAATACAACAAATATAATATACGTTCATAATAATAATAATTAATATACGTTTTGATATTAATAAAATGCATTTATGAAACATACCATGTTTATTAATATTAATTAAAATATCTCTTTCTATACATTGATTAATTTTCCTAGACAATGTCATAATTCCGTTTATGAATAAGAACTTTCTTCATTTACTTTCAAAATTATAATTCAGTAGAAAAATGGGATCGGTTGATTGATTAGACTAGAACATATTTACGCTGTCAATGCGCCCTCTGGTGAACCCATTACTGACAGAAGACCTTTATTTTAATAAGTCATTTTTTTCTGAGATTTACTGTAGAAACCTATCCTCCTGGCATACTTTGCTATCCACATCTCCTGCAAAAATTTTCTTTTCCAGGAAAAATTGCAGGCGACGTAAGTCGAAAGACTGAAAATCCATCCATTTTGTGATCTGCAAAGTTTAATTAGCACATGTGCAAATGAGCTGAAGGTACAGATTGTGCTTCCGGAACAGACTATGCAGTGACAGGCCCTCTTCGTCGCTGAGTTGCTGTCATTGGGCCACACGGTTATGGTCCTCTGTGCAGGTCTGGTACATCTCAGAGGGATGGAGGGGAGGGAGATAGACAGGGGCCATAAAGATGGAGATGTGGTCAGAGAGGCCAAAGCGTGGGCGGGGTTTAAATATGTCTCGTATGTTGGTGTAAACACGGTCTAGTGTGTTATTTCCCCATGGTGGAATGGTCACATGCTGATAAAATCCTTGCAGAGTGTCTTTCAGGTTTACGTGATTAAAATCACCAGCCACGACGTTCCAGCAGCTACAGTCACCTGAAGAATTCCTGCTCCGCTTGAGCCATCTGCCCTTGAGCCTTTCTCACTGATCCTTTTAGCATTGCAGCCAGGTGTGTGGTGATAAAACAAAAACTAAATCCATGGATGAAACGCAGAGATATCATCAGAGCGCCAGGCGCCAGAGCAGCTTGACTGATGGGAGACATGGAGCGACTGTTTAATGAAAAGTGAGAGAGAAGTCACGGATTTGAAACTTCTCTCAAGCAGAAAATGAAAGAGTTCAGGAGTTAACTTTGCAAACTGATAGAGCTCAAATGCATTTAAGGAGTTTGATCTGTCCTGGAGATTTCAAAGATGAAGCAAACAGTCAAACACTGTGTTCTAGTTAGGCATAGCATGTTGATGTGATCTCCTTGGAAAACAAACCTGCTGCTTCAGTCCTCCATCTTGTTTAAATAACCAGTTTTGATGCTGACATATGTGGTTAACATTGAATCTTCTTTAATGGCAGTGATTTTGTGGAATGCAAGTTAAAATGTTTTCAATTTAGCTCAATTTAAAACAGTTTTAAAGCAGTTTCAACTAAATTTAAAGTCTGCAATTCACATAATAATCATGATAATCATGCAGGATGACATGGTGGTGCAGTTGGTAGAGTTGCCACCTCTCAGAGAGAAGGTCGCCAGTTCGTATCCTGGCCAGACCTTCTGGGTGGAGTTTGCATGTTCTCTCCATGCATGCGTGGGTTTTCTCCGGGTACTCCGGTTTCCTCCCACAGACCAAAAACATGCATGTTAGACTGACTGGTAACTCTAAATTGTCTCTAGATGTGAGTGAGAGAGTGAAGGGTTGTTTGTCTCTATGTGTCCCTGTGATGGACTGGAGTCCTGTTCAGGGTGTACCCCGCCCCTCGCACAGTGATTGCTGGACATGGGCACCGGTGACCCCCGTGACCCAAAATGGAAGAAGTGGGTAAAAGATAATGGATGGCTGGATATACACAGTATATATATATATATATATATATTTATATATATTTATATATATATATATATATATATATATATATATATATATATATATATCCATTATCTTCCGCTTATTCCGAAGTCGGGTCGCGGGGGCAGCAGTTTGAGCAGGGAGGCCTTTTCCACCTCTTCCAGCTCTTCTGGGAGGATTCCAAGGTGTTCCCAGGCCAACCAAGAGACATAGTCTCCCTAGCATGTCCTGGGTCTTCTCTGGGGTCTCCTCCCAGTTGGACATGCCCAAAGCACCTCTTTAGGGAGGTGCCCATGGAGCATCCTTAGCAGATGCCCAAACCACCTCAACTGGCTCCTCTCAACATGGAGGAGTATTGGTTCTACTCCAAGTATCTTCTGAATAACTGAACTTCTCACCCTATCTCTAAGGATTAGTCCAGCTACCCTGTGGAGAAAACTCATTTCAACCCCCTGTATCCGCAATTTCATTCTTTTGGTCACTACCCAGAGCTCATGACCATAGGTGAGGGTAGGAACGTAGACCAACCGGTAAACAGAGAGCTATGCCTTACAGCTCAGCTCTCTCTTCACCACAACGGACCGGTACAGAGTCTGCAATACTGCAGATGCTGCACCAATCCGTCTGTCAATCTCACGCTCCATTCTTCCCTCACTTGTGAACAAAACCCCGAGATACTTGAACTTCTCCACTTGAGGCAGAACCTCACCCTCGACCTGAAGAGAGCAATCCACCATTTTCTGGTTGAGGACCATGACCTCAGATTTGGAGGTGCTGATTCTCATCCCAGCCGCTTCACACTCAGCTGCGAACTGCTCCAGTGAGAGCTGAAGATCACGGCACGATGACGTCAACTGCACCACATCATCTGCAAAGAGCAGAAATGGAATCCTGAGGCCACCGAACCGGAAACCCTCCGCCCCCTGGCTTCAGCGAGAAATTCTGTCCATAAAAGTTATGAACAGAATTGGTGACAACGGTCAGCCCTGGCGGAGTCCAACTCCCACCCTGAATGGGTCCAACTTACTGCCAGCAATGCGAACCAAACTCTCGCATCGCTTATAAAGAGACTGAACAGCCCGTAACAACGGGCCTCCAATCCCATACTCACAGAGCACCCACCACAGTGTACCCAGAGGAACATGGTCGAATGCCTTCTCCAAGTCCACAAAATACATGTAGACTGGATGGACAAACTCCCATGACCCCTCAAGGACTCTAGTGAGGGTAAAGAGGTAAAGAGCTGATCTAGTGTTGCCATATATATATATATATATATATATATATATATATATATATATATATA